CCCTGTATATAGCTGGATCCCTTGCTACCTGGAGACTCTAGTTTCGACCTCTTGTCTCCAGGTAAGCCATCGTGTATTTCGCTCTGTAGATACCTCGCTCAATACACAACTTGTCTCCAGTCCTGCCTGTTGAGCTCCGCTCCAGTCTCACTGCGATCAGAGCTCGTCGGCGCTCCTGCCTGCCTCGCTCGTCTCCACTTACTCGCTCGACAGTCAGTCGTAACAGTGTGCGGCGCGTCGTACATGAGCAGCTAGTGGGTGAGATGTCGGCAGAGTGCACAGGTGAATCACAGCGCGTTGACAGAGTTTGTCGACCAAGTGTTGGAATGGGAGGAGGTCTGCGTGCGCGACAAGGAGGTCAGTGGGTGCTGACCGCATCGCACCTGTGATGAGAAGCATAGCTTCCCGCTGCACCCGGGCCAGCTTCTTCACTGCGCCTACTGATCCTGGCTGCCGCGTCTGGCCAGGGGCTGTATGCACTGGAGTGATGAAAGTATCGACCGCATATAGCATACTGGGCACCGCCACTGCCAGGTAGAGTCGCCGGACCAGCACTGGAGTGAGGCCATATTGAGAGCGAGCTAATCGGCGGAGAGTTGCTACCCATGCCATGCCTTTGCCAAGCGCGAAAGCAACGTGTTGGTGAAACTGTAAGCGATAGTCTATGATCACTCCTAGAAAGCGATGAGAAGCTGAAGGGGAGATGACTGTATTGCCCAGCTGTAGAGGGGGCCCGAGCGTGTTCATAGAGCGTCGCGTTGAGTTGAGTAGGCCAAACTTGTCTAGAGAGTACTGCGAGTTGTGAGTTGTGGACCAGTCATTGCCACCTCCTGGTCATGTAAAGGTGGTCAGCTTCTGGTGCGTCTCCAAGAATGTATACCCAATGGTGATAATGGCAACATCGTCCATGGATCCAACTGCTGTTTCACCGTTCTTGTGTTGTGCGCTTGCTATGAGACCTGAGTTGTAGAAACCGTACAGGATGACCGACAGGGGGCAGCCTTGATCGATGCTGCTTATGATGTCAATAATCTCCGAGGAGTAGTCATCAAACCTAAGGATCGTGCGGCGGCCCCGCAACTTTTCACGTAGCCAGTTCACGATCGTCTTTGGTATACCACACTTCCGCATGTCATGGAAGAGCTGCTCTGGCGTGGCCGCTGGGAAGGCGGACTTGATGTCAAGGAATAGCACTGATGCTACCTTCCCGACCCGCCAGGCGTCTTTGATGGTCTTAGTGACTAGGTGAATGGAGTCTGAGGTTGTACGGCCTGCGCGTCCTCCGAACTGATAGTTTGGGAGCAGTGATCTGGTCTCTGCCTCAAAAACGAGCACATCAGCAATGCAACACAATAGAATTTTAGACATGCAATTGAGCAGGGCGATCGGTCTGTACGACTTGGCTGATGTGTAGTCGCTCTTGCCTGGTTTACGAAGGACAACTGTTGTCGAGGTCTTCCATGCTGTAGGGTAGTATTTGAGGGCAAATGTTGCACGGAATAGCCTGCCAAGGTGAGGCGTAAGTGTTACCGCACAATGCTTATATACCTCATTTGAGATCCCATCTGGGCCCAGAGCCTTGAATCCTCGTAGTGCGTTGATCGCGTTTTGCACCTGCTCATCTGTGATGTCAGTAAGATCGAATGCAGATGGTGGGCACTCAGTTTCTGGCGTGAAAGGGGGGTCCGGCCCAGGCGGGAGGAAGAATGTCTTGCAGAACTCCTGGCATTTGGCGTCGTTGTCGACAAGTAGCTCACCGGTTCCCGCTGCTTTGAGAGGTGGGATCCTCACGCTGCTGCCGTCCGTGGCACCCTTCTTAACAAAACGGTGGGTGGACCATATTGAATGCGCATCAACTGAGTCGAGCCATGCCGTCCAGCAGTCCTTCTTCGCATATGCTATGTGGACAGCATATGTATTCCGGAATACCTTGTACTCCTTATGCACGCGATGCTGCGGGTCACCTCGATGCTTGAATGCCAGGCGCCCAAGTCGCTGTTTCTCCTGTCTCATCTTGTCGAGATCCTTTAACCACCATCGTCTAGAGAATGGGGTAGGTTTGGAAAGCGGGACCTCTTGGGTGATGGCCTCATTGATGGCTTCGGTCAGGCCAGCAAGTAGTGTGTCGAAGTCGTGTACGTTCCGGACTTCCTCGGGTGGTGCGATACGCCGGAGGGCCTCCCGTAGGACCGAGTCGAAGTCCTCCCAGTCGACCTCCCAAAAATTGCGACGAGGAGTGGGGATGATTGTATCGAGTGGCAGGTCGAACTCAGTGACAATCGGAAAGTGGTCGGTCTTTGCTGGTCGTAGGTGTGGCTTCGTCATGCATGTCCTGAGGGATTCCATGAGGTCAGCAGTGCAGAAAACATTATCGGGGCGGGTGAGGTTTTTGGAACGAGACGCCTCCAGTGTGGGCACCCCCGCCGGGAGGGCCATCTCCAAACCATGGGATGCCAGTATATTAAGCAGGCGTTGTGAGCGATCAAGATTTCGGGCCGTGAAGAGGTTGTGGTTTCGAGCTTCATCCCAGAGGGGGTTGTGTCGGTTGAAGTCGCCAAGCCACAGTATGTAGTCGATGCCTTGGTGATAAACCCGGGGCTGTGAAGACAAAGATTAGATCCGACTAGAGTCGAAGCAAGATCTTCAGTCAGTAAGGAAAGACTATATTGCAGTAACCAACTGTACCTAGAGTCGAAAGCAAGACTACAAAGGTCAAGTAAGTAACTACAAGTTAGAGATAAAGGTAACGAAGTACTCACTCTTCAGTCAGTAAGGAAAGACTGAAGAGGGAGGACGCAATCTGAAGTCCTTATATACTACAGAGAAGTGTCCATGACTAATCGAAGAGTGGTTAGTCACATGTACCATAGTGCGATGAATAATACAATGGTGAAAGAATTGCGACATATCGCACCATAGGATGAGTAAGAGATGAGTAAGGCATAGACCTGTCTAGACCGTTCTGGAGTAGTACGGATTGTCCTAGACAGTACCAGAAGAGTCCGGAAGCATAGCTATAGTACACGAGCAGAGATTCCCAAATATGGTAACATACTACATAAGCGACTACAGCTAAGCGCTAGGAGACGCATAGCCTCGTGTAGTCCGGACCGGATAAGTCCAAGTTCAACACTCCCACTCAATCTGTACCTACGGAAGAGCGTTCAGTGTCGAAGACCAACACCTTCACAGAACTTCTTGACGATTGTCAGAAGAACATTCTTTGTGAGAGCA